TGCTTGCTTTACTGTATGTGTATTCACATGCACATGCACATAGGCCTATAGTATTGGGAAATGGCAATTTTTTTTTTTTGTCACTTTAATGCAGAAGAAAAGCAATAATTCAAAAATGATGTTTTGAAGAAATTCAAAATCTATAGTTTCTTTTCGAAAATGTAGTCATCTTTTACTGAAGATATGACCATACATCTGAGTAGTCCATGTTATCATTAATCCAAGTTTTAACAGTAGGATGTTATTTATTTATTTATTTATTTTTTTTATGATTGTTAGTTATTTTTCTTTCATCACTGTTTTATTTAGTTTTGTAATATTAAGTTAGATGACATGCACTGTGATGTTTTATTTTGGCTGTAGCCTATACTATGTATCATTTTTAAAATCATCTTACAAAACTTTATAGAAACATGAATTTATTAACATCAGATTAAAGTATTGTGAATACATTGGATAGGATATAGATTCAGATAGATTGGCCATGAATGAACCATCAATGCAGACTGCCTGCTGTCTAAAAGCACTAGTGGTGAAATTGTGACTCAAAGGAGGTCTTGGAGTGACGTTAGTATAGAGACACAAAGTCTGCAGAGAGAGGATGTTAGGCTGGTTGGGTGGGTCAACAAAACATCAGACTTTGACATGAGAGTCAACTGTTTGCTTCCCATCCATCAGTCAATGTTGTTTTTTTTACAGGTTTTGCCAATCACTTACAAAGTGAAGTGAATGCCTAGACCAAAGCATAAAGCATTAACTCATGTGCCAATCCCTTAAATACAGGCAACAAAACATATTTTCTGCTTGCACACAATTATGCAACTGTTAAGCGTTTAGTGAACCAGTCCCGGACCAGAGCAGTGCAGTGGAAACGACAGTAACATTATCCTAGATGGCAACAAACCTGGGCTGCTCTGGTCCGTCCTGTTCTCCTTCTTTATTATTTTTCCTCCTCAAAACCAATACAACAAACCTCTTTTGGGGGTTTTTGTATTAAATCCTAAAACATAAGAATGTAAAAATGGTGTACATGCTGTGTGCTTTGTTACTTTTTGTTAAAACTGATTCTCAATCCTTTTATTTGCACCTTTTAATTTAACCAATGATTCCGACCTCTGCATTACAGATTTACAACAAACCTTAAAGGGCACATAAAGGACACATTTAGTGTGTCTTGAGGCAACTGGTAGGGAAATAAACAGCACCCTCTGCTGTGCCAAGCCAGTGCAGTTAATCAGTTCAGTTTACATATTGGATGTATACGGAGCCCCTAAAGTCCCCAAAAGGAATATTTTTTTATCTTGTGCGCACAATTTATTTATCTTGTTATCTAAGATAATTTACTATAAATTCATATTCATCTCTAACGGCTTCAGATACACTAAGCTGTAATATAATGGAGAGAACTCAGCTTATCGAGTTTTATTTTCACTTCTGAATGTCATAGCATGAAATTCTTGCTGCTCTTGCTGAAATCTGAATGTCCGCCAGATTCTGTTTAGAGAGGCATGGACATTTCAGTAAAAC